AGCCCCGCTTCGAGCGACGGAGGCAGAAGCTTTTCTTTTAGTCTGAGCCGTACCTTCCAGGATGCTTTTGGCGAGCATGGTGGACGGTCGGATGTGTCGCTGATATATCGTCCTCCTCTCTGCAGGAATCGGTTTCCCGGATACGCCTTTCTTATCCTGGGAAATTAGAGAAACAAAAGAGAAAGATTTAAAAGACGCTGACAGAGTGTTCACCTTAATCCTTGTTAAAATAACTGATTTTTCACAGCTCAGGTCCACGTCGCCTGTGTGTTTGGATAATAAAAACCAGCCTTAACAATAATCCAGCAGCGACACACATCTCTCCTGTTATTACCTTAAAAAGGCCTCAAAACAGCCCTGAACTGGACGGAGACGCAGGACTAACAAATCCAACATTTAACACATTTAGTTTTTGTGCAGTAATAAAAATGAGAGAAAGTGTTTGTTAAAGATATAAACCAGGATATTTAACAGCAGCTCAGCTGATCACACAAACTGAGAAACATTCATCATCTTTAAAATGCTGTTTTGCTCTTTTACAGAAATATGTGCAGATTCTTCACACACACACGAAACAGCCGCGAGTTTGTGTTTTTATTCAAATTCTCTTCCTGAGCCTTTATTTGGGGGGAAACTAAATATTCCTCGTTTGCTGAATGAACCTGAAAACCTCCAACGGCTCCTCGGATGTGCCTTTATACTCGTGTTTGTTCAGTGAAGCTAACAAAGCGATAACGTGCACGCTGAGCCTCGGCTTTACTCTGATCAGCTGCAAGCCCGAACACAGAGCCTTTAAAATAACACCGACGGCGCTTCTGAAGGCTTCAGGTTCTTAGAAAAACTTTGGAAGAATCAGCGATTTTCTTTTTCTTCCACTGTAGCAGAAAGGACAGTGTGCAGATGTGAAGAAGTTATCACAAACAACACGGAGAAGCGCTCAACTTTCCCACAGACAAAAGCAGAAACAGCAACAAAAGAAGGACTTCAGCGTTTCTGTGCATGCTGGTCACGTGTGACACGACAGAAGCTGCGACCACAGAAGCAACGCCTGATTCACTAACGCTGAGGACGGGGTCAAAGGCCACAGGTCACCGTAGCGGCTCCAAGTAGAAGATAAATATGTTGAGCTGCTGGATTTCAAACAGTCCTGATCATCTGAACTTCCCGAGCTGCAGGGCAGCAGGGATCCAGGCTTCCAAGCGAGCAGCTGATCACACGCGCGAGTCCTTCCTGTGTTATTAGCGCGAAGCACCTGAACGCATCAGCGCAGCACCACCCTCAGTCTCACCTCTGTGGCCTGCTGCCTCCTCAGGGCCACCTGCGCCGCCATCACCCGCTGCCGCTCCACCACCAGCAGGCAGTTGGCGCACTGGCAGTCCCTCCAGCGGCAGAAGCGCTTGTGGCCCTTCAGGCAGGACACCACGCCGTGGTTGCGGCAGCGGGCGCACTTCGGCGTGCGGCTCAGTTTCCTCTGGTCACCCGCGCACATGGGGCCCGCCCTGTCACGGCTCTTGGTGCCGGGGCAGTCGTCCTCTGAGGCGGCGTGGCCGAGCCGCGGAGAGGCGGGGCGCTCGGAGGAGTCGGCCAGCTCTTCGCTCTCCGTCTCCAGGCTCTCCACGTCGATCTCCAGCTCGCAGCCGGAGTTCTCTGACATGTCTGCTGGATTTGAAGCCAGTTTGTACCTGGAGACGAATATGACTGATTAGATCATGATCAGGTGGGAAAAACTGGCTCTTAAAATATGTAAACATCACCAGTTTGTCAGACTTTACACACCAAACATTTCCTCATCTGGACAGTTTCATGAATTATCCCAAACTTTCATTTCTTATTTAAAAAATAATAAAATAAAAATATTTTTAGTTTAGTAAGTAGATTATCTACAAGAATAAAAAGATAATAAATCTGTTGTTCAGTTTTTTTTATTTAAAACAGCTTTTAGTTTTTCAGAACATTTATTTTTATTTACAGCTGTGAAATATTTAACACAGCAGTTTGTAATCAGAGAGAGTGAGGCCTTAATAAAACCAGAACTAGTAAAACTCCAACAGTCTGATCTCAGAGCAGTTTGTCACATAACCCGGGATATCTGTGTGACACCGGCTCACACAGTTTAATTAAACCGGTTTAATTAATCTGCGTCTGAGCGACTGAGCCGAGAAACACTTTTAAAAAACGGAATTAGTTTTACCTCCAGGAGTCCAGCAGGGCGGGAAACGTCGTTAACACCGTGATGAACGCCACACACACTCACACACACACACGGTCCAGACTCGAGCTTGTAATTAGCCGCTAATTGAGCGGACAAACGCAGAGCGCACCGGGGACGCGTCCAACTTTCCTCTGACTCGGACACAAGGAGCCACACCGCTATGAACCGAAGCAGGCTGCCCTCTGATTGGCTCGTTTACAAACACGCAAAGAGCCAATAGGAGCAGGAGCAGTTATGCAGGGGGCGGGCCGAGCATCGGCCACGAGCACCGAGCGCCCTACGGTGACTTCAGGAGGTCACTGTCCAGGAACGACAGGCCGAAAGGGAGAAGATGTTAAAAAGAGAAAGTGGTCCAGGACACCAGCGCGACAGTTTATCTGTCTGCGTTTGATTTCAGCTTTATGTGAGAAACGGAGCGCTGCGCTAGGCCCGACTCACCGTCCTCTGCGCGTCATCGAGCTTTTTAGTTTTCAGCTGAAAAAACGAACAAACAGAATTTTACAAAACTTTAACTTTCAGTCAGCAAATGAGGAAAACTGTCATTTATTGATGAGTCAGCCTTTAAAAAGAGAAGAATGATATAAAGATTGAACCTGGTGGATTCACTTCCTGACGTCATTATTCTGTAGGCATTATCTGCTGGGCCTCTGCCCACAGACGGGGGGGGGGGTGATACAGGTGTCCTGCAGGTTGTTACAGTCCGTGCAGCTGGCGCAGATAACCGGGGAAGATTACCGTGTTGTCACAACAATCACACCTGAGAGAAAAACCCACCGTGTCAGCGTGAAGAGGAGCCCACACGAAACAGCAGCGGGAGGCCCGAATGTGCCTCAGACCAGCAGACGCGTTATAGAATATCTGAATATTATATTAATAAATCTGATTATTATAAAAGCAGTTATCGCTGCTTTTATTTTGGAAATCCATCCTCATAATTCTCCTTTAATGCTATAAACGGACTGAGAGGAAGTCTGAGTGCTCTCTGTGGTCCTCAGTGTCTTTTTCACCCGTGACACTAATGACTGAATGTGGGCCTCGCACGCGTGCATCTTTGACTGCTGATTGAGAGTCAGCCTCACAAAGACAAAAACACGGACACGTAACATTTATTCATTGTCAACCGACTGTGGGACAATGCACGCGCGCGCACAGGCCTCCACAGTGAACGGCCGCGCGGACTGCTGCGAGTTAATGTCACGCATGTGCTGCATTGAGAAAGAAGGCCGTGGGACTCTGTCCTGCGGGATTTTTTCAAACTAAAAATGTCCACATATTTTTAATTTACTGTCACTGTGCGCATGCGTAATATTAAAAAGAGATTTTTTTTAAATTACATTTTTATCTGTTTATAATTCTCATTAAGATAATATAATAATTCAATTAATATGATTTTTCTCCGGTGCAAATTTAAATATAGTTACAGACTCTTATTAGCTCTTTATTTTTCGTGACGCGTTCAGATCTGTATTTCTTATTTTCAGGAGGACCTGGTCTCCGTTTCCCCTCCGGACGGTCCCGCTTTGTGCTTTTCAGCCGCGCGGACTCTGAGCGCTTCCTCCACGTGTTACAGGTGAGCCGGCGTTGTGCCAAAAAGGGATCGCCTGGCAAAAACTGATGTCCAGTGTTTCCGTGTATTTTTATGTGTAATATCTTTACGTGTGTTGGTAAACAGACTTCGGTGAACAGCGTTTACAAAGTGTTTATATAAATTATCTGTTTTTTCAAGTATCTTTACAACTCTGTGTTATTATACTGACATTATAACCAACCCGCTCCTTTATCCGCACCTAAAATATTTTTACTGAACTATCGTAATATTTGCTGATGTCCTCTTGGCCAACTTACTCTTAAAAATACATTTTTAATGTTAATGAGATTTTTTAACTATATAAATAAAGGTTATATAAAAGTCGCTGCCAAAAACTGATCGCAGCTTCTACCTTGTTACACGAATGTTGTTTGTGGCTCAAGATGACTTTATATCATCCATGAGGGAAGCATTTGACATGTTTCACATATTATAGCCCAACAAGTTACTTATAGCAGTTTAAATATGCTGGTCACGTGTGACACGACAGAAGCTGCGACCACAGAAGCAACGCCTGATTCACTAACGCTGAGGACGGGGTCAAAGGCCACAGGTCACTGTAGCGGCTCCAAGTAGAAGATAAATATGTTGAGCTGCCGGATTTCAAACAGTCCTGATCATCTGAACTTCCCGAGCTGCAGGGCAGCAGGGATCCAGGCTTCCAAGCGAGCAGCTGATCACACGCGTGAGTCCTTCCTGTGTGATTAGCGCACCTCCACCACACACCACCCTCAGTCTCACCTCTGTGGCCTGCTGCCTCCTCAGGGCCACCTGCGCCGCCATCACCCGCTGCCGCTCCACCACCAGCAGGCAGTTGG